CCTTTTTTCCTCCGTTTGATTGCACTTAGTGCACAGAGGCCAGATGCGACCCAGCCCAGTCATCTGTCGGCTTGCCAGCAGAGTCACTGTAGACTGGCTGGGGTAGGAAGAGGAGGGGGGGGGGGGGGGTGTGCACTTGGGGTCCTCTCCCTTCAGGAATAAAGCCATTGTTCTTCATTACAGCTGGAGAGGCTGCTGGGGGGCACAGAGGGAGAACAAGTCCATTTCCACACCTGTTTTCCATCACCAGGGCTCCTACCAACTTGACTCTGAGCCAAAACCACGCTGCTGTTCAACAGAGTCTGAGACAGGCTTCCTTTGTAACCGAAGCTGCACAGAGTCAGTGCCGGTTCGCAGTGATAACAAATGTGGCAATTTTAATGTAAAAAATAAATAAATAAAAAAATAAAAAAAATTGTACTAGGAAACAAATGAACTACTACTACTATTTTTCAGCTCATTACGGATGATGGAATGAAACTCGGCAGCCATATTGGCAACAATACTTTATATGGTATTAAGAAATAAACAAATCTGTTTCAAATGAGACAGATATTTGTGATGATATGGGTTTTGGGACAACAAACATCACCTGCTGTGAGAGACTTTACAGCATGGTGATTATTGTGGTTTGGATACTAAGACAATACATTTCTTAATGCCTGGCATCGACAAAGTAGGAATGCTTTGTGTGCAGCAGAGATCTCAACTGCTGCTCCTGAGGGAGCATCATTCTGGATACACGAGACTAACTAGCTCAATACAATAACCGATGAACAAAATGAATGTTTGTGAAATGATAACGAGCAAAATATCAAGATTCACCTTCTCATTTTGGAACTTTCAGACTCCATGAAATGGGGACTTCCTTGAATACTGTCATTTGTAACTGTAAACTGACAGTATGGCAGACTGAACACACAGCGCCCATCATTCATTTTGTGAGCGAAGCGATGAATCTGAGGAAGAAGACGACGACGACAACAACAGGCTCGAGGGTGACAAGGGATAAGCACGCCACATGAGATCAAATCTTAAATGAGCTTTCACATGGAAGGGGTGGTGGTAAACAATCACTTCTGAGATCCATTGTGTGTGCACGTCAAATACATTGAGATTTTTTTCTTTTTTAAAATTAAAAGACTTTTCTCTCAGTGGCATGATACCCGCGATATTAATACAGTTTGGAATCATCCCAACGAAACTCCAACTATGTTTTGAGCAGTTTGGTGTATTTAAATTACTTCAATAAAGACATGACAACTATCTTTAGTCTGATGACCATTAATGAGTCAGACTAATTGTATAGAGGCAAGTAAAAATTGACCGTCATTAATGTTGAGCAGTAAAGACGGCAGTTCATGCACCCTTCAGCTTGCATATACATATATAAGCAATCATCAGTAATGTAAACAGTGAACTCAAGCCAATAACCGCCAGCATACAGAGAATACATAATGGTTTAAGTTATGCATTAGGCTTCATGCTAAAATAAGATGCTGTCTCCAATGCCAGAAGCAAATAGGTGGATTCACTCAACACATGGAGTACATGTAGTAAAAGTAACAGGTTGCAAAGGGATCTACTTTTCTCCTGTCCACCGTCTGAAGAGAGCATGATTATTTGCACAACATGAAAAACAAGCAACCTAAAATTGCAGAATCAATGGGGAATCTGTAGGTATTCTCTGGCAAACATCAGATCTACACAGTAGACACTCTCATCCACTGCAACATCATGAAACATACGAATCAAAACCAGTGTGCAAGATCAAACACATGAGAGCCATGTAAAAAAACTACTGAGTAAAGAACTTGTGTTTAAGTCACCCAAACACTCACCATACCTACATTTATTAACTTTGTCATGGTCATGTCAACATACTCTCTCCCTGCATTCAACACACAAGCAGACCCTGCTCTCACCGGCACTGTCTCACATTACATAACTTCACAAAAAATGAAAACAAATATGCTTCTCACCAAAAACTGAATTATTGCCCCACCAAGTTTTCAAGTCTCAGCAAGCTCTCCAGTAATGCCTCTAAAGCACCACGCTCCTGGTGTTCTCAGTGTATAATCTGCATTACACATGGACTTACTTCATGCTTATGTACAGAACCATTGGATAAAAGATGACTAAAGGACGTAGTAATGCACGGTGCTTTTCTTCTGATTCTTCTTCTCTCTTTTCTAACAAAAACATATTTTCTGGACATTACCTAAACTTTAAAAGCACCTTCACCGTTTAAAAACACACACAACATAAACAAAACGTGATTAAAATGTAGAAATCTGTAAATCAAGAGTAAAAAACGGAAGTGTAATAGTTTGTTGAAGTCAAATGAATGACTGCAATCACACTATTATATGATTGTGTGCAGACTTAATTAAGACACACTGTGTATATATATAAAAACACACACACACACACACACACTGCTTTAACTGGTACTTTGGTGCCAACATGTTTTCAGGCTGTCTCTAATGAACTCTATGAAATTAATTTTTAGTTATCTTTCTTGTTTGAAAATTAAGAAGCGTTCACCTCAGCGCCCGGTTTGAGCCCCTCATCTTTGACGAAAGAATAACTTCACCAAATTAAATGAATGTATTTGAATATAATAGGGTTGTGTGAGATTTACTCATGGTAAAATGTGACTTCCTGTTTGAGTCAGTGAAATAAAATGGCATATATATATATTCTGCACCTATGCACCAATGACCTATCCTATAAAATGATTCGCTTATTTCCAAAAAGGATGAACGTTGTCTGGGGGGGGAGAGACTCTCTGTATCCACTCCCTCATCTGAAACAAAGCCTCGGCAGTGGAACGCAGTGAGCTGTGAATGCTTCCTCATAAATCCATTTCATTCGGAGCACTTGTGTGATTTGATGACCGTGCGAGGTGAGCCCGCGTGCCAGAATGGAACTTATATAGTTGGGGTGAAATTAACTAATGCAGCCTTCTCTTTGGCCGCACGGCAATTCTTACCCTCAAAGCACCAACCTCCCATTTATTTTTATTGAGTGAGAAAAAAAAAAACATCCATCCAATGCTTAGCACAATGAGCCTACAGCATGCGCTGGAGGTAAATAATTGATATGCTTTGTGCAAGCCTGAGCTTCGTTTGAAATCAGTGGAGCCCTTTAACGTGAAGGTACAGTAGTGCACACTGCCCAGAGATCAGCAGGACCCTGTTCAGCTCGTGCCTTATGAGTCTGTCAAACTGTCTCCTCCAAATCAAAAACAGCATTAAGCAGCGTGCACCCATTTTCAGGGATGTAACGTAATGGATTAAAACCATGTTGGATAATCCACAATGTGACAAAACGGCGACATCTGCCTCGCCGTCATTCTCCGCATCAGAGGCTCGAACTCAGCAGAAAAAAAGGTTTATGGGCTATTCTTATGAAGAGCAGCTTCTTCTTTTTTTTGCGCGGAGTAACTTTAATGTTTGAAATCATTCATGACAGAAGTGACTTGACGTCACCACGAAAAATCCCCCACAAAGCCGCAGTGTCACGACATAGATGTTTAATCGTGTCACCTCTTTGAATGGGTTTCTAGTTTGTAACAGCATGCGCGTGCGGTGGAGGAGAAGGGGGGCACGTTGCCCCGACTACTAGTATTTCACTACATCCTTATATCAATGCGCAAAGATAAACATATTACTCCCCCCCCCCAAACCGACTGTGCGTCTTTATGAAAACAGGGACTTCATACTGACAACATTGTAGCCAAACACAACACTTCAATGCATCAGTCCGGGGTAAATAAAACGTGTGTTTGTGTTCCGCAGCCCGCCAACTCGCAGATATCACTCACAACGTCAGCAATCGTTTAAAAGCTATACAATTCACTCCTCACGAGCTTTATCCGGAACCCCTTTTTAAAAGCATCTGACTCACATTACTACACCCGCACGAACCTTTGATGTTTCCGTGTATGATGCTACTGCGTATACCCAGTCCTGATTTCACACACACACACACACACACACACACACACGAACTCAATTGGGAACTCGGGTAAATAAATCTTCTCTTGTTTACCAGCACGAGTGCATGCATGCAAGGAGGTCACTGAGGCCATTGTTTGGACCACTCCGAGGTGTTCTTCACTTCGGCATGCGTTTAAATCACTGAGCATTTGTTGTTTCATTGGAATTACAACTTGCATAACAGCTTCGCCCGCGGTTCAGATGGCACAACGTTACGCACCGGATCCTAGCGGGATAGCCGATAGTGAAGGATTTAAAAAAAAAAAAAACTGGGATTAATTGCTAAATAACTGCAGATTCGGGAGCCACCTTATCGCCGACTTCATCAGAACGTCACAGTGTTACGGATAGGTCTCGAGTTGCGTTCTCATTTGTATTAATCTCTCACTCAGTGGCGTCGGATTAAATGACCAGAGTTTTGAATGGAGTTTGCTTTAGCGTTTCCTCAAACTGCACGCTGGCAGTGTTGCTGCAGATTCCACTTCCACGCACCCCTCTCTGTGATTTACAGAAGCCCGGGCTCCGTTCTGAGCAATATGCCACAAAAGTAACCAAGCGAGCGGACAGAGCAAACAAACAAACCATTTGAGCATGCCAAATGTATCTCTTTATGCCTCCTCAGCGACAAAACACGCTATTTTGAGGTCGGGGTTTCTTTTTTTTCGCAACAGAACTAGAGTTGCCAGCTGTGTAGTGGCAAAGCGATTTATAATGGTGAGCGGACCAAAGTGATGTATTCCTAAACAGCGTATCTGTAACGCCTGTTTGTACACGCGGACGCATAAATCTGCTCATCCTGTATTTCAACTTTACGGACAGTTTGCTTTTTTTCTTACTTGCTCAACAACAACATGCATCCAAATGCACTGACTGCCACGTAAAAACAATTGCTGGTAAAAAAAAAAAAAAAAAAATGACACTCATCCATCCGCATCCACGCAAATCTCAGAGGAAAGTGTGCATTCCGTTTAGACAATGAATGGGAAAAAGTCCTACCTTTAAGAAGAGCCGCTTGAAACATGAATAAAAAGAGAATAGTCGCGAGAGAACCGCTGCCAGTGATCGCCATGTTGGACACCTGCTTCAGTATGGCAGAGAGAGGCAGCTTCACCTATAGCTACAACGGGAGTCAGATAATGAGATGCGAGCAAGGGAGGGTACTGTTTACCATATTCATTTAATTCGCAGTTTTGATAAATCGTTGTTGCTTTTAAATAATGTGTCTTGTATGCCACTAACTCTTTGAATTTACTCAGAATGGAGAAAAAAAAACAACTCTAGCGACGTTCTCATCGATTTTAACGCTGTGGAGGTCTGCAGAAGTGGCGAGTAGGGAGGCGTGTGTGTGTGTGTGTGTGTGTGTGTGTGTGTGTGTGTGTGTGTTATTGGATGGGTCCCATGATGGTTTCATGATCCTGTTGCTCCTGAACTTAACAGGTTTTTCCATATTTATATTTTTTTGTATTCGTGTGTTTTGGACATTTAAAAAACGGATTGATTCACCCAAGTGGGCAACATTTCAGGCTAGAAGGGCCAGGCATAGTGTTTTAGAAGCCAGAAGCCCCCCCCCTCCGGAAGGACTGTGTGTGTGTGTGTGTGTGTGTGTGTGTGTGGGTGGGGGCTTCTGGCTTGGGGGGATTCTTCACCTGCAATGAGTGGGACCAGAGCTGGCCAACCTGTTGGGAGCCGGTCTTGTTCGCTCTCTGAAATAAAATCAATATTAGTGCTACTTATTGAAAACAGTGCATTAAAATGACTATGCTTGCCATTTCCTTTGTTTATTGTGTGTATCCAAAACATCCTTGTTACTAAAACAGAAGGCGGAAAATAGCTCCAAGAAGTTATAGGTTCTTAAAAGTTAAGGGAACGGGTCGTTAATTCCCCATAGTGGGAAAAAGAAAAATGCCCGAAGTATGTTGTTTTTATTTCTTGCAGAAAAATGCATTACGAAACATAATGGAGTTCCCAAGCTGTGTTGATGACTTTGCCATCCTCTCACTTCGGATGAGAAAAATTTATGGGTTAAAGAAATACCGGCCACCTTTTAATTCTAATACCCACGGAGGCTTTCAGGCTGATACAGGATGACAAGTATCCAGATTGCTTCCGGATTCACTACTTTAGGAAGTCAGTGGGCAACCGTTAAATTGCTACAAATAATACAGCCACATATCAAAAAGTAGAGGAGCAATTACGGCAGCTAAGGGTAAGCAAACAAATACACACACACACACACACACAGTACAGGTACACAAACATTTCAGAGGTTATTAAGAGGCTGGAATTATCATTTGAAGTTTTGTTTTAATTAATAAGATGCCTCGTTATTTAATTGCGTACACTATAAGCTTTTGATTGTCTTTCGATTTGACAAAGATAAACATATCAGGGTGGCTTGGATCCAGCAGCTTGCAGAAAATCACCACACGTACCTAAACTAATGCATCATGTCACCTTATTTACGGCACTTTATTTATGAATGCAAAGTTGGAGCTGTAAAAGCCCTGGTTGTGAAAATATGCAGAAGGTCACGGCTGTTCATGTTTTCTAATTTTCAGATGTGGCATGTAGACATAACTGAACATGAGGTCATTTGTATCTTTTTAAAGAAAATATTTTTGGAAACAAAAAAACAGACATGGTGCATTGATGCGGTGGGCCGAAAGTCATCCTCGTAATAAAAAGCTCAGACAGAACAACAATCTACAAAGGCAGAGAGAGAGAAGAAAAGGACAAAAACCAACCAGGTAAAACAATCTGTTATTTTTAATCAGTATTTTGTTTTTCTAATTTAATCATCCCTGGTGGGCTGCACAGGTGGATTCTTTGGTTATTGCCACGACAGGAATCAATGACCTTCTGGCCAAGCTCCAAGCAGCTGCCTCCGCAATGGAAGCTTTAGAACATGGCTCGGTCAGATTCCGTGTCCCCTACCACCCCCAAGATGCAGGAAAATGATGAGGTCCTTTGTGGACAATGCATGCCAAGTCCAATGAGAAGAAGGCAGTTCCTCCCAAACCCCCTTAGGCGGCTATACCAGTGAGCCAGCATGCACCGTGCAAGGTTACTGGTAAAACTAAAACATATGCATCTATGGTTAATTCCTTACACCTGTGTTTTTCCTGCTGTGACATGTCAAAATGCTGAGTGAGGGTGACATGAAGGCATGAATGATCCTCCATCTCCTCTTCAAATACAAATGGGCCTGATCTTAGTAATTGTCTGCAGTGGTAAAAAAATCCAAAACAAAACAGAAACTTCACGTGCTGTTTTGTTACATTAAAGCAGCTTGATTGTAATTCCTAAATAAGTGAGATAGAATACGATCATAATAATTATACTGAGAGTAAATTCACATTGAAATTACGTAAGCACCTGCTTATTTGCAACAATATTGGGACAAGCTATGCTGACATGCCTAACCTGATTTTAAAGGGAGGGTATGTGATGCGTTTCATTCCACAGTTCAGCCTGTTCTCCACTGATTGGTCCCGGAAGGAATTAAAAGATCAAAACAAGCTGACAAACTGTACTGACTGGCCCAAATGGAAACGTGTCATTCATTAGGGAATGAGTCTTAATGATGCTTTGTTAATAATCCTAACACGTTTGTTTAGGTTGTTTTACATATACTGGAAGTAACATCCGTATATAATCCAATGTAATCCACAGTTTAACCGAAACCCCAACTGCGGTATGTTTATGTAACCAAACATTCTTTGTCTTTCTATGTTTATGATTACTTTTCCGATGAATGCCATCACCTTTGTTGCTTGGGGATTTTTTTTTTCTCTTGTGGAGACAATCAGAAATCATCCTACTTTATTTTTAGCTTTGTTAACGGTGTGACGATTGCAACGACAACAAAAGAGACATAAGACATCAAATTAAAAGCATGATAAAGTGGTCTAAAATGATGGAAAGAAACAAAATGAAATGAATGAGATTGCTTGTTAACTTGCTTGTATACGTATCTCTTTGAAGCGGCTGGTTTACCTATTCAAGATAGTAGAAGGTGATACAGAAATGGCAGTAAAAATGGTCAGTAACGTTCATTTACGCAGACATTTGCTCTTCTCACGACACAAAGATAGGGCATTGTGTGAATTGGTTTGTAAAGGTTTGTCATTTTATTTTTTAAATGGTTCCACAGATTTTTAAGATTTAATGGGGTTTAAAAAGGAATCCTTGTTGTGCAACAAAGTCTGAGTTCCCAAAATAGAGGCATTAGAGGATTAAAATGCTTCAAAATGTCTACTTATTAAACAGTGCCATTGAGAAGCATTTACATTCTCTGAGGTCTTTAAATATATATACGCTAAATCTCACAGCTGTGTTGGATGGACTGACCAATGCCATGACATGAGCAACTGAGTTATATGGCCATCTATTGACCCCTTCTGCTCACAGGTCAAGTCAAGTCGAAGAAGAATCCTAACCCTGACTCTACCCATACTGTCTGGTGAACAATAGAGGCTGGAACACAACGGGGGAAATGGACGGCCGCAGGGAAACAAAGGCATATGACTCAGACAAACGTAGAGCAATGTCCCCAGAAGTAGGTGCATAACCTCAATCTACTACCTGAGAGAAATGCCACGTCAGGCCAGTGTCCTACAGAGAGAAAAGACAAACAGCCACACACACACACACACACAAACATACATGTGACTCACAGAGGCAGACGAGCCAAACGCACACTCGTGCAGATAGCAGGGCGATTGAGTGTGGTGATGCAGCAACTAAACTAGGAGGCAGTAGGTTCCCACCCGCCTCTTTTATGTATTACAGCCGTCTAGACGAGAGAGCTAGTCGGCGCTAGTGTCGGTCATATGAGAATGACAATTGATGGCAATGTGTTTCAATTTGGAGGTTTCCACTGTCAGTGTTTCCTTTATCTTAAGGTGGGGGTTATTCAAGAGAGTGAAAACACTCTGCTGCCTGCAGACTTTTTGATTTTTTGGGGGAAGTAAAAGGTAACCACCATCCTGTGATGTGAGGCCAAGAGGGATTACGTGATGGATGACGAGAGTGGATACATATTGTGGTGTTAGCCCGTGATGATTTAACAAACACACTTTAAAGGGAGTTGTGTGCTGGATTCAAATGAAAGGGAATTTTTTTTTTTGGTGGGAGAATTCTGACAGCAGCATTTCATATGAAGTACCTGCACTAACAGAAATTGTGCCACTTGTGCATGCAAATCTGTTAATTATTGGGTGAGGTAAGGACAGCTAAGAGTGGGGGGTGGTGAATGAGAGTCCGGGAAAGAGGGATGAGAGGGGTCCAGAGGTGGGAAGAAATGAGGGTCAAGCAGGAGAGGCTGAATGGAGCTTGCAATGGGGACGAATGATTGGCATGGGCCGGGAGGTTTTGTGGCGATGAACCCAAGGTTTGAGGCTCGGGTTGGGGTTAACTTCTTGAATGGGGCTTCGTAGGTTCATCATCCCCCGCGTTGTTCCCGTAATGAAAGAGAAGGAGGTGAGGAGGCAGACAAGAGGTCTGTGTCTCACAGGAGTGTTCAGGCATCAAACTGGCATGGTTCACAGAGGAGCTGTTAAAGTTAAACATCAGCCAAAATGAAAAGTCTTTCTTTAGGAGTCATACGACAGAGAATACAGCCGGTTCAACGTCCGTGTGGAGTCGACCAGCGAGAATACGCACAGAGTTAAACGGAGTATTTAGTAACATCCTGTCTTCAAGACTCAGGCACTCTGCTGCCACCTATAGTGGCTTTTACCGCCGCTATCACTGGGCGGCAGCAGTCTCGTCAAAAGAAGTCTCGTGGATCTGTACATAAATAGGCACAGGAAATAAAGTGAGAGTCATCATTTATCTTGCAAAGACATATAGCACATGTAGTTAACCATTCATTAGCAAAGTAGATAGCCAGCTGGTTAAAGTCCCGGTGAAACAGAAGTTAGAGCAGCTTTAGCCACGGTACTGTGAAGAGTTCCCAGTGAGTGGTGTACAGTTAGAAGAGGGATTCAAATCAAATCCTTTGCATTTGATTAGATCACAAAGCTTGCTTTGAATGTGTCACAAGTTTTTGTTACAACAATATGAAGAAATAGATTTTGTTACATTTTTTTCTTTGCGTTTATTCTTGAATGGGTGCATAATATGACCGGGGAGTGACGTCAAATGGTTAAAAAGGCTTGAAGTTTGTCAACACAATCACGCATTGCATTGGTTGACAGTACAGCAGTCGCTGCAATCTTCCTTCAACATGAAACCACAATGCAATGCAGGCTTAACTGTGCACAGATGGTAATAGCCAAAGACCTCAAAGGAAAGATGTTTCCATGCCACAGTGAGCCATTTCATACTGGAG